TTCAAGTGCATCAGCATATTTTGACCTTGACCTTTTTTTTTTTTTTTACTTTGACCTTATTTTTCTTAAATTTGTGTTTAGCTCAAATTCAAAGAAACTGTTCAAGATATTTTTATCAAACCTTATATCCTGATACATACAGATGAGAACTATACAACTTCACAACATTTTTGACCTTAGCCTTTCCTTTGCCTTGACTTCACTTTTCTTAAATTTATGTTTAGCTTAGTTTCAAAGAAACTATTCATGATATTTTTATCATACTTCATATGCTGATATATATTGATGAAAGCTATTCAATTGCATCAAAACTTTTTGACCTTGACCTTTTTCAGGGTTCTCCACAAGGGTTTTACTATGGCGGCCCGCCATGGTTAAATTTATGTGCTCCATGGTTAAACGAGCTGCGCCATGGTCAAAATCGGCGGCCGCCATGATTAAATTTTTTTTGCATTTCTGTATTGACACATACTTTTTAATGACTTGAGTAGTTAATTGTTAGTTAGAATGATCTAACTGTATCTCGGGATGTTCTATCTAGTTAATTGTGTTTGTACTACGACTGTCATGCACCTCAAGAGAAAGTGGGCTGTGCTAAACAAACACGGTCGTTGATCGGCGACTATGCTGTGAAGCTTAACAATGGGGAGTCAATCAGCCGATGATCAATATCTTGAGACTTAATTTTCCTGTGCACTTGTAATTTCACGGAATTCCAATGTGTTCACTATAAGCTAGTGACAGATTTACAACAGATGACATAACGAGCAGTAACAACATGATAATCGACAAGCATATGATTCAAATTTCTGTTTCCAGAAAAATTAAGCTTTTCAAAATTTTTTTGTATTTAATCAACCCATGCTCTGTTTTTAAATATAAACTTTTAATATTATCTTTCTGATAAAATGTAAAGTGCCAATCGCAAGTCTTATTTTAGAGTTACCTCCCGTTTTTATGAAACGTCGCGTGGCGCTATTTTTAGCACTGGGACACATGGAGAGAAACTCAGCAAAAAAAATCAATATGTAGAAAAAGATGTCGTTGTTTGTTTGTCTGTTCATTTGTGTGTCTATTGACTTATTTTCAAAATATTATCCATTCATCAGTTTTGCTCATATTTAAATAAAACGTTTCATACAACAAGCAACATCAAATTCTGTTTATCAGGTTTTGAATAATGTTGCCATGGTTACTGTATCAAAATATATTTTTTCAAATTCCTTCAAAACGTTCATACAGTTTTGGTCCAATTTTTGTACACTTGTAAAGTAACGTACATAATCCTTTTTATTTTTATTTAATTTTTTTTTAGCTTAACAAAAAATGTGTTGGTTATTTTAACTTTTTGTGTTGCAGTGGTTAAGTTTTGTGAAACTAATCATTGATTAATGAAGGTTAGGAAGTCTAACACACATTCGTGTTTTTGGTCTTATTTCGCCTTCTCGCAGCTTCCTCAATGGTTAAATTTTCAAATGTGGAGAACCCTGCTTTTTTTTACCTTGATCCAACTTTCTTAAATTAGTGATTATCTCAATTTCAAAGAAACTTAAGACATTTTTGTCAAATCTTAAATGCTTATACATATTGATCAGACCTATTCAACTGCATCATCATCCTTTGTCTTTGACCTTTTCTTTGACCTTAAACTCACTTATCTTAAAATGGTATTAAGCTTAGTTTCAAAGAAACTATTCAAGATACATGTATTTCAATCAAATGTAATATGCTGATACATATTGGTGAGAGCTATTCAACTGCATCAACCTTTTTTACCTTGACCTTTTTAGGGGGATAGGGTGGGACCACAATAGGGAATCCAAGTTTTACATTGAAATATATAGGAAAAATCTTTAAAAATCTTCTCAAGAACCACAGGGCCAGAAAAGCTGAAACTCATGTACAAGCATTCTGGGATAGTGTAGATTCTAAATTGTTCAATTTGTGTCCCAAAGAGTAGGTGGTGCCACAATAGGTATTACAAGGGGGGGGGGGGGGGGGAAATCTGGTGAAGAACAGCATGGCCAAAGTTACTCAGGTGAGCGTTGTGGCCCATGGGCCTCTTGTCTTTGATCTTGACTTCAAATTTGTGCTTGGCATAGTTTTACAGAAATGTATGCTGATAAATATAGAGGAGAGCTATTCAACTTCATCAACATTTATGACCTCTAACCATTCCTTTGACCTTGACCTCACGTTTCTCAAATTTGTTTTTTGTTTTGTTTTGTTTTGTTTTTTTTTTGCTCAAAGAAACTATTCCAGCTATATTTTTATATGTAAACTTATGCACTGAATAGATACATTATTTGGTGAGAATTCATAAACTTTGACTATTTTTTTTACCTTGACCTTCCTGATGACCTTTGACTTTTTAAAGGCCGAGGTTTTCAACCAGTCGGTTTTCCTCAGGTAAGTTTTGGTGTGAGGTGGAGCTTAATAGAAGCGGCTGTGAAGCCCCAAGGGAACCACGCTGGCTTGTGTATACCTACCTATATATACAGGATGTTACATGTATTACCTGTGTGTTTTCCTCGTACATAGGAAAACAATGTCATCTTTTTTCTTGTGTTGGTCAATCGAAATGTTGATCGTCAATTTTATAAAATAAAGCAAGCTAAATTTTTGTTGGGGGCAGATTTCCAGTTCAATTCTTTTTTAAAAATATGTTTGAATAAATTAGACAATTTCAATATTATTGTATGTGTTAATTAATTATAAATGTTATAATGAGAACTGGATCATAATCTTGTGTCATTGTACCGTAAACTGGCGACAGAAAGGGGAGTAATTCGAATTGCAAGTCGTGCATGCAAAATGAATTCAAAGTGGAAAAGATGAGAGGAGGGGTACTGAAGATGTATCTAATCAAAAAAGACGTAGAAACCCTGTTTGGGGGCAAACACAGCTATTATAATGCTGCTAATTTTTCTTCTGAGACTGGTTATTTTAATGTAATTTTTGGCACCTGGTGTCTCGAAGGAAAGTGAAACTTATCATAAATTTTCACTTGACTGAATAATATTACGATGTTCTAGTAAATATAAAATTAAGATTTATAATTAAATTTAATTAATTGATCTTCCAACAAGGGTCGGAACTTTCGGTTTAAAGGAAAATGGATGTACGTGTAAATTATGGTTTGACATTTATAATTATCAATTATTTCGTGAAATGAAATTGACTTTAAAAATAAAAAATTAAATACCTAATCATGTTTTCACATCACATTTACTAAATTATTTGACAGATTGAATGAATGAATGTATACATACAGATTGAATTAATATATGCATAGCATCTTCTTATATTATGAAGCAAAATGGGGGGGGGGAGGGGTCAGTAAAGCTTCTTCCTCACCTTTTTACATTTGCGGTAGGCATCAAAAGACCAAAAGTTAATGTGATGGGTGATTGATTGATCGATTGTATGTTGTTTTAAGTCCCATTCGAGAATTTTTCACTCATATAGAGACGTCACCATATACCGGTGAAGGGCTTCAAATTTTGACCTTTACTCGGCACTCAGGGCCATTGAGCATTGAGGGATCTTTATCGTGCCAACGCCTGCCGTGACACGGGGCCTTGGTTTTTAAGGTCTCATCCGAAGGACCCACAACTTTCACTTCAAAGTGCCGAGCGCATGGCGAAGGAACGGTTGCTACCCATTTTTTATCGACTTAGGTCAGTCGCGGCCGAGATTCAAACTCATGGCCTTCTGATCACGGAGTGAGCGCTCTACTGACTGAGCTATTGTGACGGCTAACCCACTAGAAGCTACCGTGAATGGTAATGCGATGGGTGCTATGACGGCCAGACAAGATATACAAGATATCTAGTATCCAATCCCAGGCTTAATGTCAATTGATTGACAGGGGTTCACAGACCAGGTAAATTTGAGGGCGGTGCTTATTTCCTCCCCCTTCAAAGAAACTATTCAAGGCATTTTCATCAAACTTCTTACACTAATATGAATTTTCATGTTGCATCACTAATGAACCCTGGGCAGGGCATTCATGTCCTATAGACATTTGACCTTGACTTTACTTTCCTTAAATTTGTGTTTAGCTTAATTTTTAGAAATAAATTAAGATACTTTTATCAAACTTTATTTGCTGATACATTTTGAAGAGTGCTATTGAACTGCATCAAATTTTTTGACTTTGCCCTTTCCTTTGACCCTAACCTCAATTTTCTTAAATTTGCATTTAACTCAGTTTCAAAGAAATAATTCATGATATTTTTATGTAAAGTATGCACTGATGTATAATTTGGTTAGAATTCTTCAAATGTGTTCAATTTTTTGTACCTTGACCTTCCCAACAACCTTTGACTTTACTATTCATTGTTTTAAAAACTCAGTTTTTAAGAAAGTATTCAAGATATTTTGATTAAACTTCATGCACTAATACAAATTTTCATGTTACACTACTGAATCCTTGTTGGGGTGTTAATGTCTTATGGACATATTTCTAGTTTTTTCCTGAATTTTTTTATTACCAATATATCAAAATTGGTTTTTTTTAAATCAATTCCTTTCTAGAGTCAACCAGTTCTTTTAAAACTTATTGAGCAAGGGTATTTATACCAGATTTGTAAAATTCTGGACTACTGGGTTAGGTGTTCTGGTGTTGGGCAGTGTTCTATTAATCTTGTAGAAAAATTTGTAAGCAATAGATAGAAGTTATTCCCTCTTTTCTATTCCCCTTTGATAATTAATCACTTTAAATAATGTATCTGCTTGGTCAATTGAATGAAAGAATTGTACAAGAATTTTCAATGTAAAAATCAAAAAGTACTTGCATAGTTTTTAATGACTTGTAAATAATAGATAAAAAAAAATGATGAAACAATGGACCTCCTGTTATTCTGTTTAGGCTAAATTTTATGAGGTTTTATACATTCAAATACTTTTGTCTCTTTTAAAAACATCTGAATTTGAATTTGAAAAACCTGAGTTGATTATGTTTACTTAATGAAATAATGATAATTTTTTTTTTGCAGTGGTTAATTCAACATGTAGCCACCCACACAGGGCTTCCTCCAACTATAGATGGCCTCTTTGAAGTGCAGGATCCTCTGTTTTGTGAGGTAACGATCTAACGATGCATTAAAACTTAATAATAAATTTATAAATAAATTTGATGGAAGATAATGAGTTATCCTGTGAAATCCGGCAAGACCTTTTCAGCATTATCACTTTTGACATCTTTAACTCATCTGAGCTGAAAGCTCAAGTGAGCTTTTCTGATCACATTTTGTCTATAGTCTGTCTGTCCATCTGTCTGTCTGTCCGTCTGTAAACTTTTCACATTTTCGACTTCTCCAGTACCACTTGGCCAATTTCAACCAATCTTGCCACAAAGTATCCTTAGGCAGAGGGGATTCTAATTTGTTCAAATGAAGGGCCACACCCTCTTGCAAGGGGAGATAGATAAGAATTAGTGAAATTTTGGTGTATCTTTTAAAAATCTTCTCAAGAACCACTGAGCCAAAAAAGTTGAAACTTATATGAAACTTTCTTTACATAGTGTATATTCAAATTTGTTCAAATCATGACCCCAGGGGGTAGGGTGGGGCCACAATGGGGGATCAAATTTTTACATAGGAATATATAAGAAATGTCTTCAAAAATCTTCTTCTCAAGACCAGCAAAGCCATGATTAGTCATATTATTACAGAAGTATCCTCAGGTAGTGTATATTCAAGTTTGTTCAAATCATGACCCCCCGAGGTAGGTGGGGCCACAATGGGGGATCAAAGTTTTCAGTGATTCATTTTGAAAATGGTTATCATGGGTCCAAAGGACCCCTCTTAATGACAACAATGAGTCCCATGCCAAAATCAATGGGTCCAAATCCAAGGGTACCATATATTATTATTAGATGTTAAAGAGGAAATTCTGGTGAAATAAAAAAAAGTGTATTGCACGAAAGTGCAAATGTTTTATTGTAGTTGTGAGTGATTTATACTTTTACTGTTAACTGTCCAAGTAAGGGTACATGATTTTGTGTCATAAAAATAATATATAGTCCACTGTGCACTTTGGTTCTATTTTTAGATGGTACATACGATCTCACACATTGTCAGCTGATTGTATCAGTAATAAAATGCACAGAAGCAGAATGAAGTCAAAAAAAGTTTAAGAAGAAATGGCAAATAGTCAGAAATAAAAATGATAAAATTTTATACTTCTTAGCTTGTAAGTAAGAAACGAAAAGGGAAAAAAACCAATGATACAGGTTACAGCTTAAATACAAAGGTCTAGTATTTGCTTCAGAAACGTTCCATGGTGTAGACATAATCAGTGATAATCGAACTATGCTATCTAAATTTCAAATATTTTCTGATAATTGCTTTTAACTGCAGTTGTTAAATCTGACCTGTTGTTGGCAACCTTATATCTGTTAAAATCGTTCATGCATATCGCTTAGCACGTGGATATGATGCAATCGGTCAAGTTTTGAATCAGATTATACTGAAATAATTTACAATAGTACATGTCCTTCTATAAATTTATTGCGTCCATTGGGATGCACATTTATTGAAATAATGCGCCCTGAGCAAAATTTGTGCGTAATTTATGCGGGACGCACACCAAAATGAATCACTGAGTTTTACATAGGAATATATAGGGATATATATATATATCCTCAAATATCTTCACAAGAACAGCAAAGCCATGTTTAGCCATATTAATATGGAAACATCCTCAGGTAGTGTAGATTCAAGTTTGTTCAAATCTTGACCCCCCTCCTCCCTCTGGGCTAGGGTGGGGCCACAATGCACTATCAGAGTTTAACATATGGATGTATAGGAATAAATTCTCTTAAATCTTTTTCTCAAGAACATCAAAGCTATGTTTAGTCACATTGATATGGAAGTATCTTGAGGTAGTGTAGTTTCGAGTTTGTTCAAATCATGACCCTGAGGTATAGGGTGAGATTACATCTATAAAAATCGTAACACGAAGGGGGGGGGGGGGGTCACAATAGAGATAAAAGTTTATATAGTAATATAAAATAGAAAAAATCTGATGAAGAACAACAAGGCTGTATTGACTCAGGTGAGCATTGTGGCCCATGGGCTCTTGTTTGTCTCATTTTCTTGCTACTATACATACCTGGATTACCTCAGCCAATTCCAATCACACATTGTATCTCAGAGTTTCCATTTGTGTGTGTTTTTAAATAATTCTGGTTATCAGACAAAACAGATGAGAAACATTTTGGATAAATAATTGAATAATGAGTATTACATGTACTGTAAATTGAAACTGGTTTATATACTGAACAAAGTTTTCAACTAGATTATGAATATCAATTTCTTTTGTGTTTTGACAAAATTGATTGTGTGCATTGAGCTTAATTCATAAAATCTTTACTGGCAATATTTAAAATAAAAACACTCCTTAGAACTACATGTATTAGAATATTTAAGGACCGATGGACATATTCACAACCACGCATTTTATGCTCAATTGGATAAATTCATATTATATTTTAATGTAAGTTATAGGATAACTATTGTGGCATCTTCACTATCCAGGTACAAGGGAGTTGTATGCTGTCTTATGTCTATCTAGTTAATTACTGTAAATAACTATCAATTGAATAAAAGAATTGTTAGAGAATTTTATACCCGATCATGAAAATGGCTTGGGCTTACAATGTTTGTCATGTCCATCTTCAATCCTTCCATATTTTTGTCCTTCCCTCTGTGTGTTTGCATTTAGCTCATTTTCAAAGATACCTTAACCAAGATTGGTATAATTTAGTAAGAGCTATCCAATTGTTGCATAATTTTCTGACCTTGACCTTCCCTGTAACTTTGATGTTACTATTCCATATTGTATGTTTAACTCAGTTTAAAAGAAATTACTGTGGAATCATTAGATTTCATGGTGGCTCAACTTTTGTAGAATTCGTGGATACCTCTCATCCATGAATTAACATCCTCCACTAATTAATCAATAAGGGTTACAAGTCATATTTCCTTTGTTGGTTTGAGAGAATACACGAAAAATACACGAATTTCCCACAAACCTGTTAAGTTTAAGCAATCCACAAAAATTGGCCCCACAAATTTTAATAATTCCACAGTATTCAAGATATTTTAATAAAAATTCAATCACTTAAACAACAAAATGCTTTCTTTGGTTGTTGGTACAGGAATTAAAGTTGCAGCTGTTGCAGAAAAAATGCATAACCCGCATCATTTTTTTCTGCAATAGCGGCAACATTAATTGCTGTACTAATAACCAAAGAAAGACATTTTATTGTTTAGATTTATATCATTTAAAGTAGGATGAAGTAGGTTAAGTATTGTATTAGTGATATGTACATCATTGTACATTTCATTGATGTAAGAGCCACTGCTCAAGAAATCTGTTGAGGTGATATGCTTAGTGGTGTTTAGTGACTGATAAAACAACAATGGTTTTCTTAAAGGGTTTTTATCACGTCACAAAATTTTTTGATATGACAAAGTTTACGTGCTATTAAAATCATATATGTAAAAATCTTTGCTAGAAAATTAATATTTTTGATGTTTCAGCGATTCAAAGTTTGAATTTCTCAATATGCATATTTTGATCGCCGATGTTACGCGCCATTGCTCTGACGTCATAGGTGTCAATCCTGGTCAAGCGAAGTACTTATTATGTATACAAAAGGGCTCATTTGTTGTGTCTATTAAACCTGTTAGAAAATAATTAAGTGATAATTGGATAATTGACAGCTAGTAAGATATAATTTATGGCGTTAGGATGCAAACGTGCACAAGAAAGGTTTTAAGAAGAATTTTTCCCCACATTTCCTGGACTTGTTAGAGAGATGAAAGGGGGGCCTTTTTCTGCAAATCGTTTATGCCCAATCAATCACGAATTATTTTTCTGTCCTATAAAATATTTTAAGGAAAGATACCTTTAAAAAATAAGAAATGACAAACACACATTTTTTTAAAAGTCGCACAGAATCTAGTAGGAATGTTGTGAACTTCATAATGGCGTACGGCGCCATTGAAGAAGTGTCATTTCTAGTACATGATATTCACTGCTAGGATAGATAGAAGATATACAGGATTTATTTATATATAATTAATTAAAATTATAATGAAGGAGAAATTATAATTTCCAAATTTATAAATGTTTACGAAGTTAAACTTTAGTAATTCCTTCTATTTAGTCGAAGTCCCGAGTTGTCAACGGCTTCGTCTTCGGTGACCTCTCCAAAATTGTCGGCATATTCTCTCCTTATTTTTCTCTGCTAGACATTCATTCATAAAAGATTGACCGTCCATAACCAAAGAAATATAGTCGATGTCAAAATTTCAACCGGCCATATTGTGTATTCTATTTATTTAGCATAAAAATCTATTCAATATATTTTTTCTTACGATAAGCTTTACGAGTTCTATTGACCATTGACACTTATGACGTTTCAGTACCACGTGACCCCTATCTAATTAGTGGAGATTTTCACTCCAAGGACCCTATATTTCAGGCGTTTTATCGTCTAATTAAGGCTCTTTTCAACATTATTTCAGAATTAAACGATAATTACATGTTTCAAGAATATAATAGTGTTTCATTTTTAAGAAATTTAGATACGTGATAAAAACCCTTTAAGAAACTAGTAGACTAATTGTTCTCGAACAATTAGAGGTCTTTCCACCTTTAAATTTCATATATTCTTCATATTTAACTCTCTACTCTTTATTTTTATACAAAAGAAACCAGAAATGGCTTGAGAGATGGAAAAAATGAAAATTTTAAAATTTTGAAATGACCTTGACCTTTGACCTTGAACAAATATTCAAGGTCAAAGGCCAAGGGTCACATTACAATTAACCCCATGCTTCTACGACTTTTAGCTTTAAAGTTATAAGGCTTACTAGTAAGCGCAAAGACATTAAAGGGCGATAACTCATATAAGGGGTCATCGGATACTTTCGCACTGAATAGATTGAAGTTGTGTCTAAAGACACTGAATACATTAGTGAAGGTTTCGTGTCTCTGCGGTTTACGGTTTCAGAGGAGTAGCGATAACAAGGTTTTTCGCACAAGGGGCAATAACTTTTAAAAGGGTTAAGCTAAGGGGACAAGATTGAAATCTTTGAAATAGTTTTAAAAGTACATATTAAAGATGCAAAGATATACTGTATATGTTGAAAGACAAAAGAGCTATAAAAAGAGCTTTATTTCTCTTATTTGGAATGACCTTGACCTTTGACCTTGACATAAACTTCAAGGTCTAGGGTTAAGGAATCTAATGCAGTTAGTTTCATGTCTCTACGACTTATCGTTTTGAAAATTTTTCATTATTTGTAAACTTCAAAAACTTTCAGGGGCAATAACTCATAAAAGGGCTCAACGAATCCTTTCGTAATGAATAGATTGAAGAGTCTCCTCAATTAGTCGAAGACATTGGTGAAGGTTTCGTACCTCTATAGTTTACGGTTTCAGAGGAGTAGCGATAACAAGGTTTCTAGCAAAAGGGGCAATAACTGCGAAAGAGGTCATAGGTTATATGCGTTGGGTCAAATTTGTTCATAACTTATAATGACCTTTACGATGAACAAAAAATCTTTTCGATAAATGTTGAAACAAAAAATCAGCGGAAGAAGAATAATAATAATAATAATAATAATAATAATAAACAGAAGAAAATCAATAGGTCTTTCCACAGAAAGGTGGAAAGACCTAATAAAGGAGATAATATTCAGTGGATGTAAATATTTTAATAGATATTTGTGAGAACTTTTCAATTAAGTGTGAGACCTCACTATTTCTCATGTTGTATTTGTGTCTGGACAGTCTTTTGTACTCTAGCTGATCACACCTCAAAAAGTAAAAACCTCTAAGAAGTGAAAATAAGTTAAAATTATTTAATATTAGTACAGTTTAATGCTCTTTAGTTGTTTTCTTTAGAACCAACATAACATGATTAATACTACATCTGGTTGGTTGGCTGTTAACAGGACGTTCCTTGACATCATGGCATTAAGGGATTTGCCAAACAGCCTGCTGTATCCTACCCCTCAAATGGCCCGACTGCGATCTGGTATATACTTACTACCTATGTTTCCCTAATGATGATTTAAGCAAAAATACAGTCAAACCTTGATAACTCGAATTCGATGGGACTCTGAAAAACTTCAAGATTTTGAGATATCGAGGGTAAAATACTTTAGAATAAGCAACTGGGACTTCCAAAGCACTTCGACATATTCATGGTATTTGAGATATCAGTGTTCGAGATACCAAAGTTCGACTGTATTCACTAAGGCTGCAACGATAAACCGTTTGATGGTATATCGCGGTATATTTTTCCACGGTTCAATTCACGATACGCTTAACTGATATCTCGGTTCGGTTCAATTGGTTCAGAATTATCCGTTTTGTCCGTTTTATTTCCTTCTTTTCTTTTTCAAAATGGCTTCCGCGCAAAACATGAGGTCGCCGATAACGCATTTACGGCAATTAAACTCATCTCCAGCATCTTACAGACCTCAGATTTAACACAGAGAGGGGCTTAATGTGATTATAAGTTATAGATGTTAAGACAAATGATAAATCCTTTAGATCTAAACGTATTCTTTGGTAATACACGATATTCCATCACGTGTGTATTTTGATGAAAATTCGCTGTCTTGTTGACTAAAATGTATTAACACGAGAAATATGACAACTGGTTTTCTACGTAAATAAAAGAATGAATATCTTCCTTTTTCACTCCAATTTAAAAGGAAGATTATTAGGAAAGGTCCCCGTTGTTCCCTGTAAATGTTCATCATTGGTTTAAAATGACACAACTCAAAGATCTATTTAACAATCCAATTCAAGTTAAAAAAAATTTATTTTAATTATTATTAAAAAATATGAACATTTTGTATAACCCTGTCAAGTTTTAAAAAAATATGATGACAAACTTGAAAGGCTTTTTAACCTTCTTATGTATCGTGATACGTATCGTATCGTGAACTGAATACCGTGATACGTATCGTATCGTGAGGTTAGTGTATCGTTGCACCCCTAGTATTCACAAAGCAATGTCATGTCATATATAGTTGTAAATTTAACTTTAACAGGTGTCCTTCTTTCTGAGATTGTGTCCAATATGAAAGCCAAAATAAGAAAGTCATTGGACAGGGACTTAGTTCTCTATTCTGCTGTGAGTATAATTTGAGTATATAAGAAACACAGAATTTAACACAATTTGTTATGGTATAAAAGCTTTATTAATCATTTGAGGAGATGCTTAATATAATAAGGTCAAACACTGATTACCATTTAGGGTTAAAAATTCAATTCACTCTCATTATTTGTACAATATAAATGTTTACCTGTGAATTCTCAGAAACATCCCAATATACATATTAATCTAGATCTCAAAAGAAATCAAATGGGCTCAGAATAAAATTATCCTCACAAAATTTAGCAAAGGAAAACAGATTTCTCTCAATAGAATCTATGGGTTTTTTTAAGAAGAATATTATGAAACAGTTAAAATTTGGTGGCATCATTTTTGATAAAAATCTAAAGAACCACTGTGCTAGAGAGAAGCGACTTCTTTGCTTTGTATAGTTTAGATTCAAGGTTTGTTCAGTTCATAGCCCCTGTGGTTAGGATTTTGCCTCAATAAGCATACTGTTTTAGTTCTGACCATAAACCATGCCAGCTATCTCCGCTGGAATTGCCTCAATGACTCGGTGATGATCATGGATCAAAGTTTTCATTGTAATATATAGGAAATCTTCTTCACAGGAATTAGTCTTATTGATTTGCATGCAATCTTATGTAGTATACATTTAAGTTTGTTTAAATGATGGCATCTTGTGGCTAGAGTGGGGCCATAACTGAGAGTCAAAATTTTTGAGGCAGTAAGTAGTGTAATAGGAAAATTCTCTTAAAATCATTTTCCAACAGCAGCAGGGCTATACAGTCAAACCTGTATTAAGCAGTCACCTATGGGATCCATTAAAAGTGACCTTTATACAGAGGTGACCTTTGGATAGAGGTTCATCTTTTTTTTTCAAAGAATTTCTATACAAATATCTCAGTTCTGTGTTTATATTATTACACTATAGAATATAAAAGATATGTAGGACATCAGTGGTCTCACTTATTTTTTAAAAACTTTATTCCGTAGATGCATGACTTGAAGATGAGTTCAAACTAAATTTAATGAATCCAAGAAAATAAAATACCAGTATAACAGAGTGATGCATTATCCTCCATCATAATAACTTAAATTTTTCTATAATATAAATCAATAAAATTTATCAAATATTATTTTATCTAAACTGGATTGATTTCATAAAATTAGCATCTGTACATGTATTTTCTTTCTTAAATTCAAATTGTTGTATAATATACAAGCACTGTCACTTTGACTTTCAGTTGATCAAACAGGTGCACAGGTGTCCTGAGCAATGAAGTTACTAATCCCTAACAGTCATTTTCCTTTGTGAAATTCACGACATACTCAAGCCATATTGTGTATATAAACAGTAGTTATGGTTTCTACAAATCATACAAGTTTCCTAGGTGTGAAAAAATGCCTGTCATGCGTAAAAACATTTTACAGCTCCCGGAGTTGGGCATGCGATATCGTTATTAGCTTACACACTGTAAATGGGAAACAAAATAACTTTACATGTATCAATAGATAAATACGGTTACGTTGTTCTTTTTTTTAAAGCTGATTCCAAATCCATAAGTTTAGATCCTCATAATTATGATCGATAATGTTTGTTTTTTTTTCCTGTTAACTTTTTCGGTCATTAGCATTGTTGTCCAAATTTTGTAAAACAAACAAGCAGTTTGTTAAATAATTCATATGCTTATCCATTAATATGAATGGTTTTAAATAAAGTCTATCTATTAATTTTTTGTTCATGATCCCGCAACACTTGACCAATTATATTTACATTACAAAAATTAGGAATCAGCTGATGCCAGATCAGGTCACATGATTGGACAAAATGGCCGCTAAAGACAGGGAAAAATGGTGATTCGTTTGAAATTTGATGACCGCTGACTGTGTTACACAGGTGACCTCTTAATAGAGTTACTTTATATAGGAAATATCATTGTGAGGAAATAAAATGACCGCATAGGGCAGGTGACCGCTGGATAGAGGTGACCGCTATGACAAGTTTGACTGTAATTTGAAATATGGATATATTAGCATCTCCATGTCATGTGAAATCCAGATTGTTAACTCTTGGGCTAGGCTTAGGCTACAATGGGGAGTCAGATAATAAGATTTTTTTTCACTTTTGTTTGACTCCCAGGGGTGAGGGTGGGCTACAAAAGAGGGTCAATTTTTTTATGTGGTGAAATGTACAAAAGTATCTAATAATTTTCTCAACACTAGCAGGGCCAAATTTGTCCTATCAAAGCATACAAATCTTCATATAATTTAGATTCAGATATTTTGAAATCATGACCCCTGGGGCAAGTGCGAGTTCACAATAATGGAACTTTTCACGCAAGATTTTGTTGGGGAAAAAATCTTTCACACTATAAAAAGATCTGCTAAATAGCAAAAAGGTCATGTTTCTTTTCATTAGAGATTTTTTTTTTTTTAAAAAAGGAATACATTTCGTTGACCTCACCTAGAGACAAACAAGGGAGTGTGTTAATTCATTTAAACTCTTATCCTGACAGTATACCATCCAGTGGGTCAAATTACTCATACTCTTATTCTGACTGTATAGCAGCTATTGGGTCAAATTATTCAAACACCTGACAGTACAGCCTCTTGTGGTAAAAGTCTTATCCTCACAGTATAGCCTTTAGTGGGTCAAATTATTCAAACTCTTATCAGTGACAGTATAGCATTGAGTAGGTCAAATTATTCAAACTCTTATTATGACAGTATAGCATCTAGTGGGTTAAATTATTCAAACTCTTATCAGTGAGAGTATAGCTTCAAGTGGGTCAAATTATTCAAACTCTTATCCTGACAGTATAGCTTCTAGTGGGTTAGCCGTCACAATAGCTCAGTCAGTAGAGCGCTCACTCCCAGGGATGGGGTAATGGAAATGTGTAATGGTATTTGACAGTAATTAATTACAAATTTCGATGTAATTTAAAGTAATGTGTAATTGGCCTAATTTTCAATTACATGTAATTGTAATTTAATTAATTACTTTTGAGAAAAGCATGTAATTCACAATTACTTTTCAATTACATTCAATTACACTGGTGTTTAATAAATGAGAAATAAACCACCCCCTCCCCCCCCACCCACCCACCCACCCCCTTTCAAATCCCATACACTTTATTCAAGAAACAAAGTTAACTGATTTTTTGGACAAAGTAGTCTATAATAAATTTTAAAAAAGATAATTTATATATTTCCTTTATTTAGTGAATTGCTGTTTTCTCTTTAAAATGCATTTTCTTCATAACTTTTTAATCATATTTATCTCCCTGTTTATAATGTACAAATAAAATTAATAATTTTGATTAAGTTGTTTATGAATTGGCACTTAATACTTCTAGTCCAATGGCTTCTAATCCTTTATTTGCCATACCTACAGCTTGTGTTAGAAGTGATTAACAGGTGCTAATTTAAGTGCCCTAGGGTCATGTACATATTGACACTGAACTGAAATGGAGATTTTACACTCATTTTGACTTTACTTAATGGTAGTTTTGTACACACACATTGACTATGTCTTCCCACAAATCTTTTTAAAGTATATATTTTGGTGTTATAACACCAATTTTTCTATTTCAATAAAAATTGTGGAAACTAGAGCGAGCTCGTTGCAAAGCAACGAATAGGTCTTCCGTTGGAGCTGCGGAAGGAAGAAGTGACCTTGAGTCAAGGTCATGCCACATTCTAAAGTTATACATGTAAGCAATCTTGTAAGGGGAAGCAACTTACAATATTTCGCTAGGAAAAACTGTAAAGGAATGTACGTGACCTTGAACATTCCAAATGCCTTGCGTCAAACGATGACACACTCTCGTCATAAAACCCAATGTGTGTGTTACGACTTGAAAAGTTCACAGTGACATGTCATGTTCTTTTAGTCCATACATACAGTCAAAACATCTAATCCTTAGTGACCTTGAACTTGAGTCAAGGCCATGTCACACTCTGCATGATACCAGCAATGTTTCACTAGTACAAATACGGTAGCGAAATTACAGTTTCTCTGTCAGTGGCCTTGACTCGACCAAATGACCTTGCATCAAGGCCATAACACACACTGGTTAAAAGCAATCCCAGTCTGTGAGTTTCTGAATGGATAAGTTCAGCCATGTTTTTTCAGATCATACAGCGAGTCGGAATAATTTGTTAGGTTCAACATAATGATTAAAAAATTCAATGAGAATGTTTTATGTCCAGTTTGGATAAGTAGTAAAACGTGGAGATCGGTCCTTTGGATGAGACCGTATAAGGTCTCGTGTCGGGGTAAGTGCTAGCATGAAAAGGATCTCTCATGCTATAAATTTTGAATTTACCAGGCGGCAGTAAATACTGACAACCGGTAAGTTCAAAATTTACAACATGACAGATCCATGGCACTTGATTCTACCTCTGATTTCAAAAGATTTGCACTGATCCTGATTTGTATTGTTTGAATGGTCTTTTAAGCTTGAATGCTGTACAGGTGCTTGTGGACAGGACCCCCCCTCCCCCCCCCCCCCCCAATATACACCCCGGGGTCCAAGAATATTTTTATTCGTCTTTTTCCATAAATTAATCTTCTAGTACACATTTACAATGTATTCCATATGGAAAATCCATAAAAATAACGTGGAATTAACGTTTTATTAAAAAATCATACCCGCGGTATTATGAAATAGAGAAGGTAAGTCACTTCCATTTGTTAACACTGGACCCCTCTTGGATATCGGGCCTAAAATATCATATACATGTACCTACCACATGTCACCAAAATATGCTATTATATCTTGTTTCGGTAGATATTTTTGTCTTTAATCGTGCTATTTAAACGGAAGACCTTAAACAGTGTCTGTGGCTGTCACTATTTCGGTGTTTTTCAGAAACTTGATCGTAGAATTAGTCAAAGTCCACAACTGGACAATAAACTGATAAATCGGCTACAGTATATTATCTGTTCACAGAAACGACATATTGAAACTGGAAAAAAAAATAATCCAGAAGCAATTCATTTCATTGAAATTCTATCTTTCCTGACAGCATGGCCTTTAGTGGGTCAAATGATTCAAAAATCCTCTAGCGGGTTAAATTATTCAAACTTTCTATGACAGTAAGTCTCTTGTATTTAATTTATCTTCATACCCTTTTTTATTTTTTCATATTTTGATGAATGAGGCTTGGCTAAATTCATTGAATTTTATTGCAGCATGACGACACAATAGTTGGGTTGTTATCTGCATTGAAGTACTTCAGATACCCAGACTTCCCTGCAGTACAGCCTCAGTATTCAACATCCATTGCCATAGAACTCCATGAAAATGGACCTTCTAATTTTGTTGTAAATGTTTACCTCAGAAATGAAACCAACTCTCCAAATCTTCAGCTCTATCCTGTCCCTATTCAGGGTGAGTTAGAGATAAAAACAATCTCAAAAAGTGACATCACTTTTAAAGCAGGACTTTGCTGAAAGCAAAGCCCTGACTATAGGCATGCCAATTGTCAGGCTTACTATAAATATCACAGAAAAAATTAAACAAAAAGCCATACAGCATTAAAATAGAAGACACATAATAGTCATTGTGAGAGACAATATTTGATCAAATAAAATTTATTAACTCAATCTTTAGAAATGAAAATTGGTATTTTTGTTTGAGAAATACATTGAGGGAGGAATTAGCTGATTACTAATCAATATACTTTGCATTTATGCTACAGAATGCATACAAATGAAAGCAAAGTACTTTCCATTGCATGTTTTTTTTTTAAGACAGCTACACTGAAGAACTCATTTTTACACATTTAGTCTATTTCTTTTTTGTAACTTTGACTATTTTGTTGGCGATTAAAAGAACATTTTTTGTATGGTTTGAATCTTGTATTGATTAAAAGAATTTAATAGTATCAATCCAAATCAATAAAGATGTAAAAATTCTTGGACATAAGTTTCGTTACATATTAAATCACTAGGTACCTATATATTAAATCACTAGGTACCTAAATATTAAATCACTAGGTACCTATATATATTAAATCACTAGGTACCTAAATATTAAATCACTAGGTACCTATATATATTAAATCACTAGGTACCTAAATGTTAAATCACTAAGTACCTATATATTAAATCACTAGGTACCTAAATGTTAAATCACTAGGTACCTATATATTAAATCACTATGTACCTATATATTAAATCACTAGGTACAAATATATATTAAATCACTAGATACCTATATATTAAATCACTTGGTACCTAAATATTAAATCACTAGGTACCTATATATTAAATCACTAGGTACCAATATATTAAATCACTATGTACCTATATATTAAATCACTAAAATATTAAATCACTAGGTACCTATATATATTAAATCACTAGGTACCTAAATATTAAATCACTAGGTACCTATATATATTAAATCACTAGGTACCTTAAGATGCTTGTATTGATTTATTGATTACTCCATATCCTGAAATTTCATTTTTTCCTCCAGGCATTGGCCATGTAAGCAATTACAGTCAAAGTTTTCTCGAACTCGAAGGGACCGAGAAAATACTTTGAGATAACCGAGGATTCGAGGTATCCAGGGTAAAATATTTAAGGAATAAGCAGTTGGGACTTCAAAATCACTTTGACATATCCATGGTATTCGAGATATCCATGTTCAAGATACCAACTGTATCTTAAATTTATTTCTCAGAGTTAAAAAAAATGTAGAATAAAAAGAAAAGAAGGGAGGGGATATTGCTTTGTTGCTGTCTATCGGTCTGTCTGTCAGTCCACCAACAGTTTCGGTTCATTTTCTTCACAGAGGTTGCACATATTTGGTATACCAATTAATCACAAGAATATCTAGGTCAAGTTCTGTTTTGAGTATGATCGAGCAATTTTTGACAGAGTTATGGCCCTTGGACTTAGAAAAAATTCAATTTTTTGCAGTTTCCGTTCATTTCCTTTGCAGAGGTTGCACATAACATACTGAAATGAAATTTGGTAAACAGATTTATCATAGGAATATCTAGGTCAAGTTCTGTTTTGGGTATCTGTACCATTTCTGTTTTAAATAGTAAACCTTGAAATTATTTCTTGATGTGTAAATTATATTTTATGATTGCCTTGTACATGTATTATATAGCATTTTATGGAAGAGCAGCGAAAATTAATTTACATGTACTTGTGTTTCAGCACTATGATGTCATGTATCAAGAGCAATCTTGGGGATTGTTTTATTATAAGTTGGAGCTGTGCATTTGAATATGAAAATTTGATATGTGCATTATAAGCCTAATATACCGGTACATAATTTTAAATGTTCTCAAGTTATTTTCTCACTTTGTGAATAATAAAACTGCACGTTTTCAATTACTCAAGGAAAGTAAGTTAAGATTATAATGAAATTCACATTAAGATAATTAAAAGGTTTGAAATTACTACATGCATATAATTTGATAACATGTACTTAAGGTTATTTTGATTGAATAATTGATTTCAAACAAGCAAAAAGTTTACAAAGATTAAAACCAAAGGTGATTTAAATTGAGAAGTGTACCTTTTTTATAATAGGAGGTAAATAAAACAATTCCATTTGCTTAATATCTTTATCAAAAATTAGGAAATTAAATGAATGGGCTAAAGATTTACATTATGTGAAGCTTAATTTGAAGAGAAATATATAATGTAATGAGATTTAATATGGTTGTGTAAATTAAGATTAAACTTTCGTGGAAGCATCCAGGGAAAGTGTAGAATATAAATTGTTCAAATCTTGACCCCGTGGGTAGGGATCCAAGTTTTATATTTAGAATATATAGGAAAATTTTTAAAAATCTTCTACTCACGAACCACTGGGCCAGAAAAGGCGAAACTTATGGAAGCTTTCTAATGTAGTGTAGATTCTAAATTACTCAATTCATATGGCCCCAGGGGTAGGGTGGGGCCACAATAGGGAATCAAAGTTTTACATTGAAATAAAGGAAAAATCTTTAGAAATCCTCTTGTCAAGAACCACTTGACCAGAAAAGCTTCCTCAGGCAGTTTAGATTCTAAATTGTTCAAATCAAATTTTCTTTTTTTAGTGTAGATTCTAAATTGTTCAAATCAAACTTTCTTTTGATGAAACCCCTTTGGGTAGGGTGGGGCCACAATAGGAATACGAAGTTTTGAAAATATAAAGGAAAAATCTTTAAAAATCTTTTCTACAACCATTGGGCTAGAAAAGGTGAAACTTATAAGGAAGCTTTCTGATGTATTGTAGATTCTAAATTGCTCAAATCATGGCCCCTTGGGGTAGGGTGGGGCCACAATAGGGAATCAAAGTTTTACATTGAAATACAGGAAATATCTTTAAGAATCTTTTTCATAAGAACCACATGGCCAGAAAAGTTGAAACTTATCTGGAAACTTCTTCAGGTAGTAACCGTTCACGGTAGCTCGGTCAGTAGAGCACTCACTCCGTTTGAATCTCAGCCGCGACTGACCTAAGTCAATAAAAAATGGATAGCAACTGTTTCTTTGCCATGTACTCGGCACTTTGAAGTGAAAGTTGCGGGTCCTTCAGATGAGACCTTAAAAACTGAGGCCCTGTGTCACAGCAGGCATTGGCACGATAAAGATCACTAACTGCTCAATGGCCTTGAGTGCCAAGTAAAGGTCAAAATTTGAAGCCCTTCACCAGTATATGGTGATGTCTCTATATGAGTGAAAAATTCTCGAATGGGGTGTAAAACAACATACAATCATTCAATCCTCAGGTAGTGTAGATTCTAAATTGTTCAAATCATCAAATCATGGCCCCTAGGGGTAGCGTGGGGCCAATAGGAAAACAAAGTTTTGAAATATAAAGGAAAAAGTCTTTAAAAATCTTGTTTTCAAGAAACATTGGGCCAGGAAAGCTGAAACTTACATGGAAGCATTCTGATGTAGTGTAATTCTAGATTCTTCAAGTCATGGCCCCCTGGGGTAGGGTGGAGCCACAATAGGAATTCAAAGTTTAACACTGAAATATAAAGGAAAAATCTTTTTCTAAAGAACCACTCTGCCAGAAAAGGAGAAAATTTCATGGAAACTTTCTTATGTAGTGTACATTAATTCTAAATTGTTCGAATCAAGGCCACCGGGAGTAGTATGGGGCCACAATTTTACATTGAAATATAAAGGAAAAGTCTTTAAAAATCTTCTCAAGGTCCACTGGTTCTGAAAAGATCTAACTAATGTGATGAAGTTTAGATTGGAAATTGATTGAATCATGTCCCCTAGGGGCGGGGTAGGTAATATTGATATGGAAGCATTCTTAGGAAGTGTAGACTGAAGTTTGTTCAAATCATGAACCCCATGGTCAGGGTGGGGCCACAATGGGGCATCAAAGTTTTCTGTCATTTCTGTCATAGGTATGTTAATAACTTTAAAAAATCTTCTCAAGACTAGCAAAGCCATGATTAGTCATAATAATTCAGAAACATTTTCAGGTAGTGTTAATTCAAAGGATGACTGCACTTAAGGACATGCGAAATTTGCGACAAAATAAACTTTCAAAACAAACATTTTTCTTTTCATTGGAAGAATGACCAACATCCAATCTACAACTTTATTTAATTACGTTTAATAAAAGTGTGTATTTACGAAGTTGGAATCTGTTTTCAAAGGCAGGGGTCATCACAATTTCTTGAATCTCCGTTCGATAATGAAGACGCCCACTTTTTTACTGACTTTATACATGGTCAGCACATGTTTGTCTATTGTTCTACGTTTAACAGTAGTTGTATATTTGCATAAATAATAATGTGTCAAAAGGAGATTAATAGACAAACATGCGCTCATGGTTAAATAGAGAAAAAAACTGCTTCTTCATACATTCGCTCCATGTGTTGTAACCAAGCGTTGTGACATGTTGAATATTATAAATCACCACGTGATTTCTCACCTCAGGTAACTTTGTGAATACTAAATTCCATCATGTGACTTGTAAGGTAGCATGTTTTGTGCTTACTAGGACATTGTGTTTGAACACGTTAAGTCATCTGGCATTGATATAAAATGTGCTTTAATTACATTGAGGTGCTTATATCATTAATTTCGTTTAGAAACCATTGTCAGAAGTGTATTTGTGCCATACAGAATAGAGAGGGAGATTGAAAAGAGTGATCACATTCTTTTTTCAAACATGTCATTGTTATTTATCAAGTCTAAATTTAGACCCATTCTTACAATGTTAGCTCCACCTCTCATGCATATCTAATGTTCAATCAAGGGCAGGTAAGTGTAAATTCACTATATTTGAAAAGCAGTAAGGACAAAAAACATAGAATCATTTTATTATATTACAGTCTAATATGGTTTTAAGATTTAAATTTGGTTCCAAATTGACAGGATTCTTTCATAAACATACAAAAGTGAAATAAGGTT